CCAAGATTATCTTCTGTGTCTGTGTTAATTGGTTTTCCTTATCATTGTTGAAGAGGGTCTGTGCCGTCCTTCTGCCTAGTCCGCCATCTTGCAGGAACTGGACAGTTCTTATTGTCCATTATTGACAGTTTAATATAATGTAACTGTCTAGTGTGTTTTCTTGTATAGCTGTTTACTATGAAGTTAATGGAAGTTTCTCATTAGAAAATATGAAACCTCATGAATAAAGTACCATTATAGAAATTATTCATAAACATTTCCAATTCATAAACATTTTCCAATAGAGATGAATAATTGGAGTGTTTTTTACTTGTTCATAGGGCAAAAGTTGGATTGTTAAACGAAGTTATGAAGATTTTCGGGTACTTGATAAACATCTTCATTTATGCATATATGACAGACGGTTCTCCCAGCTCTCAGAGCTTCCTCGTTCAGATGCTTTGAAGGATAGTCCAGAGGTAAGTATCTAGTATTTTTCACAATTAATTACTCTGAGAATTGGCAGGAAATTTTTTCTTTATTCTAAAATAACAGTCTATATTGGACACTATGAACAGGATGATTTCTAGGATTACATAACTGTTTCATAAGTGAATATTAGTAATGCCATGTTAGGTATTTAGAATCAAAGTAGGTTCAGTCTATAATTTTATACAGAAAAAAAAATGACTTCGTACTAAAATATATTAACAAGGAACATATATATGCAAAGTGTTCTGCAAAGAGTTTAATAAATGTGGAAACAGAAATGTGGAAATATGTTTGCTTCATTAATAAACAAACACTTATTAAAATAACAATACTTTTATTAGTTTATGAAGGCAGGCTGAGTCTATGCACCTACCACCACTCTTGTCAAAACTTTCTAAATGAAAATAAAGTTTTCAAAATGATTACAAGAGAAAAAATGCTTTATAGCACCAGAAAACAAAGTCCTATCAGGAAATAAAAAATTGTGAAGAATCTTTGAAAGTAAATGGGGTAAAATTTACAGGGGAGAGAAAAACAAGCCTAAAACCATGTATAAGAGGATGACTGCAGAAAATTGGTAAGAGGATGATTGCAGAAAACAAGAATTTAAACAAAAAAATGAATGCACAACCAAAAATGCTAAATAATTCAATACAATCCATAATGAGAATGGGAGACAGCAAACTCAATGAACAAAATAACTGAGAAAATAGTAGAGCAAACAGAAGGCCTTCAGAAACATAATTACTATAGTCAGAGTGAAAATGAGGCTGTCACTTTCATGAAAATGAAATACTTTTTATACGACTGAAATAATCAGCAATCTTGGAAATGAAAATATGATTACTTTCATTAAGATAATTTTAATACTAATAAACCTGAACAGCTGGACTGCATTTGAAATATACACAATTTAAGCCAGGATTAGGAAGTAGAATATTAAGCTAAGCATTTACAAGAATCCCAAAACCAAACCAAACTCGTTGCCATCAAGTCAATTCTGACTCATAGTCCCCATAGGACAAAGTAGAACTACCCCATAGGGTTTCCAAGGCTGTACATCTTTTTTTTTATTTTTTTATTTTTTTTATTTTTATTGTTATTTGAGTGAAAGTCTACAGAGCAAATTCACTTTCCATTTAACAGCTCACATACATTTTGTCTCATGACATTGACTGCAATCTCCCACATTGTAACAGCTCCCCTCCTCCTTCCTTCCCATAGTTACCTCTTCCCTGTGTCCTTCCCTCCCATTCACTCCTGCTCCCTGAGCTGTCTCCCTGTGCAGACATAGCCCTCTTATTCTCCCATGATTGAGCTCTCCAAGGAGTGTATCAACCTAATGTAAATATTCAGCTCACATACCTGTCTATTTGGCTGGAAGCCACAGAAGTGGGTTCAAATCCAAACCCAAAGGGCAACTAGGGGACATAGCCTCAATGGTTCCATCAGGCTCTATCAGATCAACAAACCTGCCCCCCCCCCCCTTTAAATGATTGTGAGTTTTATTTCACATTATTTTTCCATTCTGTCCAGGATTTCCAACAAAGATCTCCCTCCAAGTAATTGACATTGATAGCCAGGCACCATCTAGTTCTTCTGATCTCATTGTCCTATAGGCTGAGAATCGCATGGTGTACTAGTCACTTGGACTGATTGTTTCCATGTGTCTTTGGTTTTCTTCATTCTTTTCTGTGGATGAGGAGAGAACCATCTTTGCATGTAGATAGCTGCTTGCAAGCTTTAAAAATCCCAGTAAGTACTCACCAAAGTAAAATGTGGAACAATATTTTTTGTGTAGTATGTTATGCCAATTGAGCTTGATGTTCCCTGTGACTATGGTCCTGAGCCCACTTGTCCAACTTCTAACTCCCTCTGGGTAACTGGCAGTGTCCAAGAAGTGTCTACAACCTTGTCCCTTGTCAGTTCTACTATATACCTGGGAATTCTTACAGAACATACAAATACACTTGCATAAACATTTTTTGCCAACCCTATACATGGTCTTGGGCACATTCCCCCCTGCATAGATATAACCTAATAGTTTGTCCTGTCCACCCATATATCCATGTTTGCCTTCCCTGACAACCCAGTACTGTATATCCAAAAGGGTTCATCTTTGTTGTCTGTACCTTCCATGTACCTGTCTATGTCTTCCTCTTCCTCAGTACCACTGTGTTGATCACTCACATTTGGTACATTGCCCGTCTCTTCACCCAAATCAGTACTTGTCTCTACCTGTCTAACAGTGTTCCCTCCCCTCTCCTCCCACCCCTGATAACCAGCAAAGAAAATTACTTTCCATATATAAACCTTTCCTTGACTTTGTACAATAATGGACTAATACAATATTTGTCCTTCTGTGATTGACTTATTTCATTCAGCATAATGTCTTCCAAGTTCATCCATGTTATACAGTTTTTTGCTAATTTTGCATTATTCTTTAGGGTTGCATGGTATTCCATGGTGTGTATGTACCACAGTCTGTTTATCCATTCTTCTGATGAGCCCCTAGATTGTTTCTATCTTTTGGCTATTGTAAATAGTGCTGCAGTGAATATGTGTGTTCATATATCTGTTCTTGTCTTGGCTTTCACTTCCTAGTAATGGAATGACTGGGTCAAATGGTAATTCTAATTCCAACATTTTAAGGAATCGCCACAATGCTTTCCACAGTGGTTGTATCACTTTATAGTCCCACCAGCAGTGTAGGAGAGTCCCAATTGCTCCACATCCTCAACAGCATTTGTTATTTTCTGTCTTGTTGAATTTTGCTACTAGTCTAAGGCTGTAAATCTTTCAGAAGCAGACTGACACATCTTTGTCCCATGGAAGAGCTCCTGACCTCTTTTTGATTAGTATCCAAGCACTTAACTACTGGGCCACCAGAGATCCTTTTATAAGAATCCAAAACCAAACCTGCTGCCATCAAGTTGATTCCAACTCATAGTGACCCCAGTTGAGTTTCCACAATGTAAATCTTTATGGAAACAGATTGCCTTATCTTTCTTCTGCAGAGCAGCTGGTGGGCTTGAACTGTCAACCTTCTGGTCTGCAGTCAAATACGTAAGGCACTGCACCACCAGAGCCCTTTTTTTTAATAAGAATACAGCCACCCCCCAAGTAGAAAAAAGATTAAATATTGTGAGAGAATAGTTGAGAATCATTGACAGTAGATCCAAAAGTTCCTAATTCCCTCTCATAGGTGTTCTTGGCACAGAGAGGAAATGGAAGGAAATAATTAAAAAATAATTGTTAAAAATTTCCCTAGAAAAGAAGAAAACCATGTTTCTTTAAATGCTAACATTTTTCCAAAAAGACTCACAGACATTAAAAACTTGTAGGGAAATACCAGAATGCCAAAACTTAAAGAGAAAATTCTAAAAGTTTGTGGAAACAAAAGCAGATATTTGTAAAGGATCAAAAACTTTATTGGTATTAGTCTCTTCATCAGCCTCAATGGATAAATAAACATAGTGCAGGGGTATTTTCCAAGTTCTGAAGGGAAATAATTTCCAATCTTTAATTGATTCCAAGGCAGTTAAGTGGGTAGGGCAAAGTAGAGATGTCAGTCAAAAACTGCCACTGCCACAGGGTCTTAGGAATGTCTTAAGAGCACAGATTCTTTTGTATGATAGAAAATGTGGAGGGTCTCTCTCTTTCCATTTTCCATATCTGCCTATATGTTTCATTTTTTTCTTTCAGATTGTCTTAGAACATGGCCACTATCAATAGGTCCCAAGTTTCTATCTCTGCCTTTTAAGAGAGCAGCCAGATTGATCTGGAGTTTGTAGTATAATTCCTAATTCCTGAATTAACTATTTTTTAGTTTTCTTTTAATTGTGGTAACATACACATAACAGAAAATTTGCCATTTTAATCATTTTTAAGTGTACAATCCACTGGCCTTAATCACAATCAGTGTTGTACAACCATTATCACTTTACTCACTCCTCACTTACTAACATGGCTAAGTTACAGAGACCAAGTCATTATGCAAAAATCAGCAGTATGCAAAAATGGATGATGGCTACATCATTACATAACTGCCAAGCCACTAAGAATCATGGTGTAGCTAAGTTAGTATATAACCTTAACCATCACAGCCAACGTTACTTTCGCCTCAGCATTTGTTACTGTCATATGTATGTCATAATATCATTAATGCTTAAAATGGTTGGATAGCACATTTTTTACTGTTGTCATAAATGCAGAATGGCAGATAATGAGAAAGTTGATAAGTGAGGAATAGATGTATTTGTTTCTAAAAATTTTTGTCACACCACCCACCCAAAACAGAAAGTCTGTACTCATTAAATAATAATTCTCATTTCCTCTTCTCCCTAGACCATGGTAACCACTTGATACTGTCTATCTAGATATTTCATATCAGTGCAATCATGCAGTCTTTGTTCTTTTGTATCTGGTTTATTTTACTTAGCATTAATTAAGGTCTGTTCATGTTGTAACATATATCAGGACTTCATTCTTTTTTATGGTGGAATACTCCATGTACATATATGCCATATTTTGTTTATCCATTCATCTCCTGATGGACGCTTGGATTGTTCTACATTTACTCTTATTTGGTCACATGGACCCATGGTGCCCATGGTGTAGTATCATGTGTATGAATTTGACAACTGCTATAGCCATATGAATAGAAGATTATGGCAGGTCCTGGAAAAAACGGTTTCAGGGAAGCAAGGCAGAAAAAAACAAATATGTATCTGCTATAACTATCTTTTTACATTTTCTATAGGAAAATGGAAAGAGACAGCAACAAGGTTAGAATCTTTAGGCTATTATGATCCTAACTAATAAGGCATTAATAGTAAAGATCTGTGTGAGACAACATTGAAGTACCATGTAAATTCCCCATAGTTTCAGTTCAGAGAAATGTTATGCTTCTGTGAAGAATACTCTATCACTCTACACTATCACCCTCCCAAATAATAAAAAAACTATCAATTTATACCAGTTAATCTGTAAGGAAACTAAGTACTTTAAATTACCATTAATTCTTTCTCTTTCTTTTTAGTCAGTAACTCAGATGCTTATGGCTTACCTGGCACGTCTTTCAACTATTGCTGGCAATAAGATCAATTGTGGACCTGCCCTTACTTGGATGGAGGTATGACCTAGTTCCCTGTTAATAAAGTTTATTATGAATTTATTTACTGAAGCAATTTAATTTGGAATTTAATGTAGGAGGAATTTTCGATAGCTATTAAGTTTCAGGAATCAGAGTAATAATGGATAGCTATGTCATATGTGAAGTAATTTTTGTCTCAAAGATATCCAAGAAAACTAATTTGCATATATGTTATGAATCTCAGTTAATATCTATTATCTTTCATGTTTATTATATAATAAACATATTTAATTAAAGCATCCCATATATTTTCAGTTGACTTAGTAATTGAAAGTATTTTTCAGTCATTTATGGACAAATGATAATTAACCTCTTAAAGAAGTCTAATGTAGAAACAAGTCTTGAGTAAAACATGGTGAATCAGTAACTATAACCAAAAACAAACCCTATAAGACAGCCCCTATAGGATTTTCAAGGTTGTGTCTTTTATATAAGCAGACTGCCACATCTTTCTCCCATGGAGTGGCTGATGAATTCAAGCTGCCAGCCTTTCAGTTGGCAACCTGGTGCTTAACCATTGCACTATCAGGGCTCCTTCAGTAAATATGGTAGATATTTATTATTAATTTGCATATGTGTATTATCTTAATTATTTACTTTTCTCTCTCCAGTGCAAATTGGAAAGGCAGAATGAAAAGTAGAAAGAATGTAGAATTTAGAACCAGGCCAATTCGAATTGAGATCTTGATTCATCCATTATTAGCTATGTAATCTTAGACAGATTATTTAATGTCTCGTAAATTATATAACCTCTTTTAGCTTTAGCAACTTCACCTTTAAACAATAATAAGGGTGATACTAGTTGCATTTTAGAATTATGAGGATTAAATAAAATCATATAGTTGCATTGCACAATGACTGGCGTATATTATGTACTCACTGTTTCTTTTCTTTTTTTAAGCCTCTTTGGGTCAGTGGCTGTCTAAATAAACTTGAAGTTTTATAAATTATCCAAAAAAATCATCAGTCCCATGTTGTTAAGCATCCCATAGTGCATTTTCTTTGTTGCAGATTGATAATAAGGGGAATCACCTTCTAGTTCATGAGGAATCCTCTATAAACACACCTGCTGTTGGTGCCGCCCATGTTATAAAGAGGTATACTGCTCGGGCCCCTGATGAACTAACCTTAGAGGTAGGTAAATAACTAAAGAGTATTACTTGTCACATGGTCCTTGCTCTCTTGCCACTCTCATCTTTAATTGTTTTAGTCATTTCTTAATTAAAATGAAGCTTGTTCTCTAGGCTTTTCTCTACTTCCATTATCATTCAGCTTGGAATGCCCTCTAAATTTGTTTAAAAACTATGCTTATCCTGGAAAACTCAGCCTATGCTTCTCATTTTTTCTGGGAAATCATCTTTGGTCTCCCCCCCACAAAAACTGTACAAATATGTAACCAAAAAAAAAAAAGCTTGGGTGAAATGTCATTTTGAGGCGTTTCCATAGCCTATCTCTGACATATTACTTATTTAATCATAATTATTCTGTTTATCTCCAAATGAACAGTAATCATCTTGAGCAATAGATAGGAGGTTTTTGTCTTTGTGTTATATCCAATGATACTTATTTCTCAATGTTTGTTGAAAAATTGAACAAAAGGACAGATGAATGGTGAAATGAACATTTATTGCTTTCAGATGCAAAAGGAGAGGAATTAAAATTCTGCTTCTAAAAATAAATATTGACTGGTGAGAGACAAAGGAAATGCTCACAGTCACTCAGCTTATGAAAGAACAGTTTAAAATTGTTACTTTATAGAAATTTGAACTGTTCTCAAACTAAACTTTTAGATTGTGTATACAGTCTCATGTCTCAGCAAATGGGGCTTTCTGAAGATGGCTTATTTAACACTTGAAAAACCAGTTGTGAATAAACAAAGAAAAATTCCTAAAGGAACAGAGCATGCATTAGTAATGTAACTCAATTAAGTTTTATCATAGATAGTATCACTTATTCAAGTTGAAGAATAATTTCATGTAATATATTATTAGAAACTGTTACTATAATTCTTATATTTATGACTTTTTACAAGTTCATATAAACTTAATCAGTTGTCTTTTACAGCGAAGAAAGTAAGTAAGCTATTTAGTGAGAATATCATATTGTACCATCAGTTGAAAGGAATATGAAACCCACTGCTATTGAGTTGATTCCAACTCATAGCAACCCTAGATGACAGAGTGGAACTGCCCTATATATGTTCCAAGACTGTAAATCTTTACTGAAGCAGACTGCCACATCTTTCTCTTGTAAAGCAGCTAATGAGTCTGAACCGCCAACTTTCCAGTTAGCAGCTAAGGACTTTAACCACTGCATCACCAGGTCTCCTGAAAGAAGTAGAAACTAAAAAACAAACTCCCTGCCATTGATTCAATTCCAACTCATACTGACCCACCTTGGGTTTCCAAAGCTGTAAATCTTTATAGAAGCAGACTGCCTCATTTTTCTTCTGTGGAGCAGCTGGCAGATTCCAGCCACTGACCTTTTGGTTAACAGCCATATGCCTTAACCACTACATCACCAGAGCTCAGTAGTCATGAAGTTTTGCACTTACTAAGAATAACCCCAAATTTTAGACATTTTAAGCCTTTTCCTATATGATTAAACAAGATATGTCAAATGCTCAGCACAGTGCTTGGCATATGGTAAGCACACATTAAATGTAGTATTAATAGAAATTGTCCCTTGTCTAAATGCAGGTATTTAAACTGTATTCACTAAATGTAGTATTAATGTAAATTGTCATTTTTTCCCTGAACATAAATACTTAAAACTGTTCTTTATAAGAGAATTTTATATTACCAGCAGTAAGAGTACTTAATAGAACTGATGATGCTATAATACCTATTATTCAAAAATGTTTTTTTTAAATCTGAGTTTCTGAAGTTGCTGCATGTGTTAATTGGGTCAAAGTCTTTGTGCTGCTTAACACTTTGTAGACCCTACCTTAAGAACATGGTAAGATTATTGAATTCTTTAAAGAAAGAGGTAGTATGTTTTTCCAGATGTTAGCCAGAAAATAAGCGAGTACTTTACCCTTTTGTAGAGTTTTCATTTAAATTCTAAACAACAATTGGTTTAAAATATATCTTAAAACATTTTATTTAAATTTTTGTTTTTCCTAGGTGGGAGACATTGTTTCTGTTATTGACATGCCCCCTAAAGTATTAAGCACATGGTGGAGAGGCAAGCATGGATTTCAGGTAAGCAACAAAGAATTAGGTGTGGAGAAATCCCAAGAACAGTTTTTATTTATTTATTTATGCTTAATATTTCTAACTCACATAGGAAACAGAGTTTGTTATCAGAATTGTCTGCAGTAATAGAAAAATAAAGATGATGATGATGATGGATTTGAGTTCCTTTTTCTAATTATTGTGGTGGATACTTTTCTCTCCATTTCTAGACAGTAATGTAGCCAAAGTATGTTAATAGCTATTACATAAGTATCTTGAGCTTTAACTACATATTAAATGTTATTATATGCTGTTGAGTCATTTCTAACATATATTGACCATAAATGATAGAGTAGAACTGCCTTGTAGGGTTGCCAAGCCTATAATATTTATGGGGCCAGATACACTGAGTAGCCACTGATGTGTTCAAATCTCCAACCTTTTTGTTAGCAGCCAAATGTTTAACCATTGTACCACCAGGGCTCCTTATATCTTAAATAAAAACTAAATATTGGGACTTCTCCACACCTAATGTATTTTATTTTAAGAAGTTAATGTATTTTATTAAAAAAAATAATAACATTTAAAACAGTTTATCAAGGTGGTTAAGACCTTGAGCTCTGGTGACAGGTTGCCTGTGTTGTAATCCTGTGTTTTCTTGAACAAGTTACTTAACTTCTCTGTGCCTCAATTTCCCCATTTGTAAAATGGTATTCATAAGACTATAATTTGCATAAGGTTATCATGAAGATTAACTGTGTGAGGATAAAATATGTAAAGTACTTGGAACAGAGCCTGTGGCATTTTTTTCCTCAATATATGTTATTTTTAAAATTTAAATAATTTTTTTTATTTTACAAATTAATTTTTATCTACTTTTCTGTTATAAACATGTCTATAGAATTTTTCTTCTTCTTTTTTTTTATTTTAATTTCCTTTTTGGTAAAAATACACAGAGTAAATATCTCCTTTCCCCAAATCTATGCAAATATGTACCTAAAACCTGCTCCCAGTCCACCATTTCTATACATAGTGACAAGTGACATTGGCTAAATTCTTCACATTGTCTCAATATTCTCATTATTGCTGTTTTTTTTCACTACCATTTAGTTAAATCTCCCTGCAGCCCTAACCTTCTCATCTAACCTTTAAAATAACTATTGACCTTTTGCTCTTATATAGATTTTTTTTTTCAAAGATCACTTCAGAGGATAGATTGAATTTACGATTTGAAGAGCAACTCAAGGCCATTGTCTTGGGTACTCTTCTACACTCAGTTGGTTCAATAAGTCTGGATTCTTTAAAAATTTGAAGTTCTGTTCCTTGTTTTTCTTCTTTTTTATCAGAATTTCTCTATTATGTTCCTGATCAGAATGTTCAATAGTGGTAGCTGGTGGGCTCTAGGTGGAGGAGGCACTGGTTCATGCAGACAATTAGTCCTGTAGTCTAGCTCCTTCTGATTCTTGTGTTTCCTTCTTTCTCTTGTGTTCCAGGTGATTAAAAACCAATAGTTGTATCTTAGATGGTCACTCCTAAGCTTTTAAAATCCCAGACCAACTCATCATACTGGGAGGTAGAATACAAATTTTAAGAACTATGTCACGCCAGTTGACTGGTTTGTCTCACAAGACCATGATCCTAAGCCTCCAAACCAAAAGAACTAATCCCATGAGGTGATTGTATGTATCTAACTATCAGCATGTATCCCCTCTGCCCAGCTCTTTTTGGTGGTGGTTATTGTGGCAAAACCATACACAACCTAGCATTCTCCCATTCATCCTTATATATATTTGCTACTCTACTTTTCACAAATAACACACCCACATAAATAACACACAATTGCATGCAACATTCTATTCTGGTTATCTAGTGCCACTCTGACAGGAATATACCATAAATGGGATGGCCTTAACAAACAGGAGTTTATTCTCTACAGTTTGGAGGCTTTAAGTCCAAGTTCAAAGTGCCAGGCTCTAGGGTCTGGGTGAAAGCCCCTCAACCTTGGGGTCTAGCTCTGCTTCCTGCTCCCGGCCCGCTGGAGCTAGAGGCATTTCTTCACTCAGAGAGCTGCTGGCTGCTGAGGCTGACAAACCCAAGGTTGACAAGTAAAAAGGCACAGTCTTGATGTTAGCAAACCACATGGCAGGCCATTAATTTAAATCCATTGTAAGTCCCAGGTCAGCAGAGCTTGGCAGGCTGCTGAACAACAACATGGCTACTTGCAGGGTCCAAGTGTGCCATAAGCTAGAGACTATCCCCAAGGCTTCTACATATACAAGGAGCAGACCACATCCCAAAGGCAGCTACTCAGCTGCTTATGGTAGATCCTACCATGGAATTGATTGCCAGTCTCATCATGGGGACCAGCCAAGTTGACATACCAATTTAACTACCAAACATCGATATGTTGTTGTTGTTGTTTGCCATCAAGTTGACCCCGACTCATAGTGACCCATCCTTGGGTTTCCGAGGCAGTATCACTATGTAGGAATGCCCAGCCTTCCTTCCAAGAAACATTGATATAGTGCATAGGAAATTAACAAGTGAGAGGGTTGGGTGGTTTGCAAAAAAAACATAATGCATATGTTATTTGTGTAAAAATACAGTGTTAATGCTATTTAATAAAAGTATTGTTGTTGTTATGTGCTGTAGAGTTGGACCTGACTCATTGTGACCGCTCCTTGGGTTTCTGAGGAGGTATCACTGTGGAAGTAGATTGCCCAACCTTCCTTCCAAGGAGTGACTGGTGGGTTTGAACTGCCAACCTTCTGGTTAGCAGTCAAGTGCCTTAGGCTACCAGAGTTGTGATTGGCTTACTCCATTCAAGATAATATCCTCAAGGTTCATCCATGTTCCAAGATGTGTCAGTGCAGTGTAGTAAATTATCTGGTATGGCTTTTCTAGCCATAAGTCTTTGTAAACTCCTTGGTGGGATTTGCCATGAGCAAGTGAGGAGTTCCTGATTGTTAGAGTTACCCATCTGGGGTATGTCTGTTGAGAGTGGCACAAAGCAGTGTTCTGGGAGATTCCTGCTCTCTCTCAAGTGCTTAGAATTCTGATGTTATGGTTGGTTAGTTTGACCACTCTGCCAGGCTCAAAAGGAGCCCTCCTAGAGGCTGAAGAAGTCTCTCTGACTGCTGGCTGAGAAAGATGTGCTGCTGAGAGAAATGTGCTCCTGAGAGGTAACACACTGCTGGGAGAGAGAGTGAGAGAGACTGTCAGCTGAGAGACAGTGGGCTGAGAGACTGAGCTTGTTCCTGAACTTGAGTTGTAGCCTGGTGCTTCCCTAATAAACCCCATAATCCATGAGTTCTATGTGGCCACTGCAGCGAATTATCGAACCCAGCAGAGGGATGGTGGGTGCTGCGCGAGGAAAGATTGGTGTCAGGGTTGATGAAAGGGCTGGAGGAAGGTGGCATGTCTGGCCTTACAGGAATAGACCTTGGGCTGCTGATAGTGATTCTGTCTTCCTCTTGTGGGGTTAGAGGAGACCAGAAGATGTGGCCTCCCTGCTTCTTTGGCGGGGAGGTACTCATTTGTCTTTATCACTGAATATTATTCCATTGTATCTGTGTAGCACATTTTACTTATCCATTCCTCTGTTGATAGGCACTTAGGGTGTTTCCTTCTTTTTTGTATTGTGAATAGTGCTGCAGTGAACCTAGAGTGTGTATGTCTGTTTATTAGATCCGTAGGGTATATTTGGGAGCTCTGGTAGTGTAGTGGCTAAGGCACTTGACTGCTAACCAGAAGGCTGGTGGTTCAAACCCACCAGCCACTTCTCATAAAAGGAGGATGGGGCAGTCTACTTCCGTAGTAATACTGCCTCGGAAACCCAAGGAGGGGTAGCCATGAGTCGGGTCTGACTCAACGGCACATAACAACAGCAACAACAACAACAACAACAACGTATATACATAGGAGTAGAATTGCTGAATCATAGATGAGCTTTAGATCTTGTTTTTTGAGGAACTGCTAGAATGTTTTCCAAAATGACTGTATCATTTTACATTCTCACCAGCAATGGATGAGGGTTTTGATTTCTTCACATTCCCTCCAAATCTTGTTATTTTCCTTTTATCTTGGGTGTCCTAGTGGGAGTATAATAGTATCTCATTGTGGTTCTTAGCTGCACTTTTGTAATGGCTAATGACATCGAGCATCTTTTCATGTGTCTGTTGGCCATTTGAATATTCTCTTTTGTGTACTGCTTGTTCATGTCCTTTGCCCAGTTTGTGTGTGTGTGTATGTGTGTGTGTGTTTTCTTTGTTAAGTTGGAGAAGTTTTCTCTAAATTTGAGATATTAGACCCTTACTGGTTATATCATTCCAAAGATCTTTTTTCACAGTCTGTAGGTTTTCCCTTTACTCTTTTGGTAAAGTCTTTTGATGAACATAAGTATTTAATTTTATGAAGTCCCATTTATCTGTTTTGTTTTCTATTGCTGGTGCATTCAGTGTTTTGTTTAAAAGAATTTTAATTTGAAGATAAGATTAAGACCAGAAAAATAAAATCCATATTACCTCTTAAATTTCCTTGTTTGTTCTGTTGGTATCCTTCACCTGTATTCTGATCTTCTTATGTTCTGTGGTAGTTATGTTTGTGTGTCAACTTTGCTGGTGCTGGTTGAGTGGCTGGGCAGCTGGTGGTAGTTATTCCCCATGATGAGACTGGCAGTCACCTCCATGGTGGGATCTACCACAAGCAGCTGGGTAGCTGCCTCTGGGATGTGGTCTGCTTCCTGTATATAAGCAGCAGCTTTGGGAATAGTCCCTAGCTTATGGCACACTTGGACCCTGCGTGTAGCCATGTCATTGTTCAGCAGCCTGTGATGCGCTGCTGACCTTGGGACTTACAATGAACTTGAATTAATGACCTGCTGTGTGATTTGGTAACATCGGGACTGTGCCTTTTTACTTGTCAACCTTGGGTTTGTCAGCATCAACAGCCGCTGTCTGAGTGTAGAAATGCCTCTAGGTCCAGTGGGCCAGGAGCAAGAGGCAGAGCTGGACCCCAAGGTTCAGAGG